GTATTCTTTGATGTCTTGGTGTTAATATTGTTTTGTCAGTGACATTGATCATTTTTATAAATTGTTTTAGTCACAAAAGAACGATTATACTTTTCTATATATCCCATCTATTGATCTCATCTAACAAGAGGCTATGTTGCACCGATACTTCACTTCGATGCCGTATCCGCGTATCCGATACGTATCCGTATCCGATACTCACCGATACCCGTCCTGTACGTATTGGGTCCGTATCCGTAATTTAATAAAAGTATCGGGCTTAATTTTAAAAATACCGATACTTCCGATACCCGTATCCGTGAACCGATACGCGTATCTGAACCTATAACCCCTCATTTTATACACGACGACATGACGAAAATTTAGTAGCCAACCAAGCGACCACAACATGTGGAACATTGATAAAGATGGTTTCGGGAGTATGAAAAATAATGGAATACTATAATTTGACATTTCATTGCTTGATGATATTTAATTGAAACAAGACTTGGATGTTAATGCAAATAGAGAACAAAAAAAATTATTTGAATTTAAATCAAAATATCAATACTTTAGTTTGTTAGACTAATCTTTGAAACTTTATTGTAATAGTTAATTTTTTGTACTATTATTATTATTTTATTTATGAACCCCTGAATTATATATATTTGCAAATTATACCCTATATTTTTATTATTTATAAATATACCCCCATACCCGTATCCTATAATTTTTGAAAGTGCCGTATCGCCGTACCCGTATCCGCGTATCCGCGTATTGGCGTATCCGTATCGGTGCAACATAGACAAGAGGTAGCTATACTTATTTCATTTTTTGGCTACTCCTCTTCATTTTATTTTATTTTATTTCTTCTATTATTCTTTGAAATTGTAAGGAATAAATGTAATTAGATTTTGATGATGCTAGGATAATTAGATTAGAATTTTAGAGTACCCCCATTTAGATTTTATGTATTAGAATTTTCAGTTGTAAGTATTAGTGTAGTCGTCGGTCAGAGTTGCTCTATTGTGGATCAGGTCAGAATTGCTTCATGAGAACTGCTCTACGAGAAAGGCTCCATGAGAACTGCTCCATCAGAGTTTCCTCATCAGAAGTATCGTCAGAATTGCACTATGAGAGTTGCAATCAGAAGTACTCATCAGCGGACCTATAAGAGTTGGTGCCAGAATTGGAGCTCAGTTAAACATCAGAAAGCCATCAGAATACTTCTCATCTGAGAGCCATCAGAATCCAGCATATCAGAAAAGCCCGATCAGAGCCCGACTAACACTTAGAAGAATTTCAAGGCAACTTCCAACGGCTGTGAAACTAACGGAAAATCCCCCAACGGCTAGAAGACTGTGCATGAAAGGAAAGCTTTTAATGCGCATTAAATGAGCCTGATACGCTAAGGATTGATTGCAAATGATTGACCAAGAAATCTGGAAGATAAATTATAAAAATAGAAAGCTTCCAAATCGGCCGGTCAAGTCAACAGTACGCGCATTTAATGCAGTTGTCTCCTCCTCCAACGGGCAGACAACCCCAGTATATAAGATACACAACGAAGAACAAGAAGAACAACTTTTGCTCTCTTCATCCTACCAAGCATTCTTGAGATTCAAACTCCATAATCATCAACAAGAAAAAGCTTACGTTGGGAAGATTCAAACTCTCAAAATCTCTCAACCCCAACAAGAGCAACGTTCATCCAGTTCTTCAACTCTTCAAGAACTTCATCAAATATCATTTGTGACGAAGCCAGTTGGAGAAAAACTTTGTTTTTCAAAGATCTTCTGCAAAGAAGGGCGTCCAAGTAACTGCAGTAGTGAAGTGGTGATACTTCCGGGAAGCTGAGTGAAAGGACCAGTCATCAGGAAGCAGGACTGCATCCCGGGTGACAACTAGACTTGAAGAAGGCGTGGAGAACTTCTTAAGTGCTAGGAACTAAGGCATTGTAACTGATATTTACAAGCTTAGTGGAACAGTGGACTAGAGGAACGTGTTGTTCCTTGAACCACTATAAAATATCCGGTGTCATTTACTTTACTGCAATTTAAATACTGCACTTAGGATTTTAACTGTATAACTCTAAGACTTGGAATCTGTGCTCAGCAGATCTTGTTCTAAGAGTTATCAGAAAGGCATTTGCCTTAGTATTTTTGAGGCAACCCGAACAGAACCCAATCCGCTGCCAAGGCCAGTTCTGTCATCAGAACTCGACCTTCTCTGTCACCAGAATCCGACCTTCTCTGATAGGTCAATTTGGACTTAGAGAAAATTTTGGAAAAACCAATCAGTCTATTCACCACCTCTAGACTGATTACCATTTTAAACGGGACCAACAGAAATAATTACATAAATATGACCAAAATAAAGATGATTTACAAAAATATGATTATTGACTAGAGTAGTAATGAAATCATAGTAATTCATATTCAAGTTTTGGGCTTAAGTTACCACAACATCACATTGTAGTAATGAATAGTCATATTTATGTAAATATATTTTATTTTAGTAATATTCTTGTAAAAAACTCTTATTCTTTTCTCTTTTTGGATGTACACTTGTTATTGTATAATACGGAGTATCAGTAATGATTTACTTCTCACTCACTTTTTAGTTTATACCCCTGTTCGAAATCTTTTACGATTTCACAGTTATTGTACTTGTTTTTTCTTGTACTCAAAATTTAATTTTTGAAAAAATATATTGTTACAGTTACGGATTATATGTCCAATGTAAGAAATGATTCACGTGTGAACCAACATACACAGTTTTTCTATCAAAGGTCAATGTTACATAGCTAAATATGTGACTTAAATGTAATCTTTTATTACTTCAAACACATATGATTACAACCTTGTCAGGAATGTGAAATATTTATTGCTCATTAAACTGGTTTGTGCACAACTATATGCATTTGGATGATATTTACATCAATATTCTTAATGTATTTTTTAAATATTGATCAAGGATGAACCATATAATCACATATTTTTCACAAAATAATCGGTTGACATGGAATAAAATTATTCGGACAATTTTTAAAATACACGTGGTATATGATATGTAAAATTTCATTAACTATTTACAAGACTCCTAACAATTTTGCATTTTTTTTTACAAAAGATAACATTATTTTAATATTGGGCAAATAATCTCGCGCCTTGCGCGAGTAATCGCTAGTATACACACACACACACACACACACACACACACACACACACACACACACACACACACACACACACACACATATAGTGTTGGGCCTGCCGCGGGTCTGCGGTCAGCAATCTGCTAGCCTGCCGGTGCAATCGGACCGCGTGGCGCTTTGCCTGTTCTATAAAAGGGGGAAGGGCGTGCTACACTATCAGCGATTGCTTTTAGTGTAGCGGTAAGCGCAACGATCCACAATTGGTATCAGAGCCAAAGGTCACGGGTTCGACCCCCGGCAACAGCATGCTGCTCAGTTGTAGGCTGGCAGGTGCTGGGGGGGAGATTGTTGGGCCTGCCGCGGGTCTGCGGTCAGCAATCTGCCAGCCTGCCGGTGCAATCGGACCGCGAGGCGCTTTGCCTGTTCTATAAAAGGGGGAAGGGCGTGCTACACTATCAGCGATTGCTTTTAGTGTAGCGGTAAGCGCAACGATCCACATATAGAATTTGGATCGAATAAAAAAAGCTTTAACGTGTAAAATGAGAATTAATCTTAGTCGTCCAAAGTGTCGATCTGATGCCCAATAACCCCTATCTGATGCACTTTCGAATAGACCTTATTTGATGCACTTTTCATTTTACACGTTTAGATGTCTTCTCATTTGAACTCATCCCTACACACACACATATTATTTTTTTAATGAACGTTGACCGGGTTGACCCTCCCGGGTCTGAGCTGACCCTTGACCCGGTCCCTTGCCCGGATCACTTCCCGGTCCGGTTTTGACAACATAGGTCTGGGGGAGGGGGGTTGGGGGAGCCTAAAGTAATAGGGGCTGAAACTCACTCCATTGAGTTTCAACCCCCTATGTGCCTAGCGTGTTTCGAACTCGAGACCTCTCACTAGGCACGGTAACCTTGCAACCAGCTGGGCTGGAATGCTTGGTTATGTGGTATTAGTTGTTAATAGTTCAGTTTCTAGTTGTTACTAACGGTTCGGTCCGCCCATTGGTACGCTTAGACCATTTGTAGTGGTTTGGGATTAGGAGTCAAAAGATTAAAAATTGAGATTTTAGACTCTTATTTGTGTGTAGTGGAGGATTAAAAGGGGGAGTAAAAGTGGAAAGGAGAGTGGAAGAGTGTAAATATAGAGGGAGGGGTTGACAGCCAAAAATAAATAAAAAAGAAAAGAAAAAAGGGGATGTAATGGATTCGTACGCTGCATGCCGGGTCAAACCATGTTTTTGCTGACATCATGGTGCATCATTATAACCCCAAATTGTTTTAAACTCTAGTAACTTTTTATTTGTTCTCCAATTTTTTTAAAATATATATCAAAATTCATAAAATTTTATGATCTTTCATATGACACCAATATGTAATATATAAAATGAAACAAAAATTCTTAATTGTTAACTGTTGAAGTTTTCTTCCGTTTACAAAACGATGAAACACAAATTTTTAATTCATGGAATCTTCACAAATAACTGAATATTTCATAATCGAACTTTACTTGAACTAATTTCATTATTATTAATCGAAAACATTAAAAAAAAATTAATGAAATTTATTTATTTTGATATCAAAATGTGTATTTTTTATTTCACAATTATTTAGGGAAAATATTAAACGGAAAACATTACTTATAATAAATTAATTAATGTTTTACTAAATTGATATGTAAAAAAATATGTTGAGTGTATTTTATTGACGGTGCACGGATGCAGGGAAAAACAGTATGAACGGAGTCAAAACAGTGTTTTCATATAAACAATTTGGACTCCCAACCACTACAAATGGTCTTAATAAAATATTCCAAAAACAATTTACAGGTACAGTACTAAACCGGTTTCCGACTTTCCACATAAAAACAAAATCACTACGGTGAGGTAGAGAGATTTTAAATAGCCGATTCTTTATGGATCATATCGTCATAAAGCTGTTCAATTTTTTTTTTTTTTTGCTGTGAATTATTCTATCAGTCTAGGTATAACCAAACTGAAGTATCTTCACTTGTGATAGCTTTAACCTTCCTTTGCGCCAGGGGATCTATAGATTTAGTTAGACAGTATTTATTTATCGAGAACGAAAATTGAATCATGCCGACGAGTTATGGCCATAAATTTGGTAAGAATTTGATGTCTTTATTCATATACGAAAAAGTAATCGACGGGACGGCGGGGGTGATTGATTCCATTTTATTTTCGGTTGGCATCTTCAGGGTTATGGTCACCGCAACATCGGTTGGTTTTGCGCTTACTGCTCCTCACAGGATTGGGGCTTGGAACCGGAACAGTAATTTCTTCATATCTACGCCTGAAAAAGAAGGTATTTTCAGCTTTGGTCATTGATACTGTTTTGTTTTTTCCCATTAATTTATGTGTTCTGCAACCATATTTCATGATTTGGGTGGGTTTTCTATTGTTCAAAATCGCAAATTACCATTGCTACTTTTGTTTGTGAAGATTTCATATACTCCATCCCTACAGCAAGCAAACAAAAAGCAAAAAAAAAGTCATGTTTCGTTTTAAGTTTATGGAAAGTTACAACCCTTTTGAATCATGCGTCCTACTTATATTTTGAAATTATTTGTTTCCTAAACTAAATATAGTATGCTTAACTTTTTTGGGGCACATTTTTCGTTCTGTTGTAACAACAATCAATTTTATTTTCAACGAAAAAATCTAGTTAATTTCAATGAAAAAGGATTGCTTTTGTTGAAAGGTGGTTCTTATGTTATATTTTGTTATATGAAAGGGAAAACTTGTGGATGGTCAAGTTCCAATCACCTTATATGAGTGTTTGTTCCTTTCCAGTAATGATTTATGTATGGAATTAAGTAATTTTTGTTTGCAATTCAATTTGGAGGTGATGGATGATGATGGCTATACAGAGGAGGACCTAATAAGTGCAATGCCAAGTGATATATTGTGCTCCATCCTCTCACGACTGGATACAAAAGATGTGGTTAGGACTAGCATATTGAGTACTAGATGGAGTAACCTCTATCTTTTTCTGCCGTATTATTCTTTTAGTTGCCGATGCTCGTTCGAGATTCCTTTCCGTGGCCAGTGTAGCTGTACAGCTGAGTATAGGAAGGAAATTATGACTGTCTTGGATCGTTTTTTCCGAATGCCTAGAGGAGCTGGCTGTGAAAAGATTAAATCTTTCTGCCTGTCATTGTGTGTGAAAAGAGATTTCACGTGTCACATTGAGCGTTGGGTGCGTCAGATTGCTGGATTGGGTGTGGAAGAGTTTACGCTCAGGTTGTGTTGTCAACAAAGTACAAAACATATCACATTTCCACTCCAGAAGCTTTTATGCGAAGCAGCAGCAGCACCGATGCTCAAATCTCTGCATTTGGCCGCATGCATCCTGGAACCCTTCAATCCCCAACACCCTTTCAAATCTCTAACATCCTTGAGGCTTAGTTATATCGAATCAGTTGATGTGCAGAGCGTGTTGTTATCATGTCCGGAACTTGAGTCTCTAACATTGGAGTATTGCTGTCTTCATTCTAAGCTGTTCATTGGCGGAGGGAAACAACTGAAGTTGAAATCATTAATCATTTATAGGTGCCATGGGGGGGTCAATGAGATATCTTTATGTGCTGAAAACCTTGTAATCTTGGAAGTTCAGTTATGGATAGATTCAACAATGAAGTTTCCTCACCCTACCAATGCTCCCAAGCTCCAGCATGTCAACATCACGGTAATGCACTCCGAAGATATGTGTGACATCATTAGATGGGTAGGAAATGATTGTCCTCAGGTTGAATCTCTTTATCTTGATTTGTCGTTTGGAAACCGCGCTTGTGCATATAGTTTGCCGCGCGAGGTGCCCACATTTGGTCACATGAGGCAGCTTTACATACTAATGGAGTTCAATGAGTTGTTTGATGTGACTCAAGTTGCTGCTTTAATCACGGGCTGTCCACTGCTTCAGAGATTGCATTTAGTGGTGAGTCCCCTTCCATAATGAAGAGAAGTGGGTATTCTTTCTTAATTAATATTTTGGTTGGATTGAGGTGAACCTGGGTAATATTAGCTTATTCACCTTTATTGGGAACTTCATACGTAGTATTTGATATTATTAAAATAAGCTGGATCAATTTTGGCAGAACAAGACTTCTCTCTTCCTCTTGTAAGCATAAACCTTTGCAGAAGAGTGCATTTGCTAACATTAAGCTATATCCAAACCTTGGGTATTTCAGTGTTTGTTCCCAGGAATAGAAGTCATTCTGTATTTTCCTGTGTTTGGCAGACTAGTACAACATTCTCGAAAATGACTTCCATCTTTTGAAAAAGCGGGAGTCATTTTTTATGAAACAATTCATCTTTTTTCCTTTTATTTTCTTTTTTTGTGGGTTGGACGCTGTTATATTATATTTATACATACAAGCAAGAGAACATCTGGATTGTTTTCCAGGAAACAATCAGTTTGGTTTTAGTTCTCCAGCAAACAAATACAAATACTGTCGTGCAATGATGATGAGTTTCCATGTTTACAGGGAAGGGGGAGAAAACCATGCTATCTTCGTATTGGAGAGAGAGTATCTCTCAGAAATCATCATCTTCATCTTCATCTTAAAGAAGTAGAATTTGGTGGGTTCCTTGGTTTGGAGAATGAGGTTGCTTTGGTATTGTATATCCTGAAAAATGCTTTGGCTCTTGAGAGGATGGTGTTATGCAGGGATTATAGGTGGTATACTGGTGCTAGTAAAGGAGGAAAATGGGAGGAGAGAAAAGATTACAAAGGGCCTACGTGGTCGAAAAATCCACCATATAATGTAACATTTGATCAAAGCAAATTACAAACAATCCATCAGCAATTGAGAGGGCAGGCTGCTTCCCCAAAGGCGCAAGTGATCGTCATTTAGGATGTGTTATTTAATTTTAAATCATGAATTGCTCCATCCATAATATTTATAAATTGTTAATACTATTCTTCTTCTTATTGTTGTTGTTGTTTCCAATGTCTGTTCTTATTTCTAATGGATGGAATATAAATATATTTAATCTGACACATGTTTGGTTGCTGTAGCTGCTTTGAATTCTTATTGCACTTGATAACATTCCATTTGTATTTTCTATCATATACTACGAAGGAACTAGGAAGCATGAAGTTCTGCAACAATGTTGGCATAATGTCCAACATCTAAATGCAATATATCATTGTTATCTATTGTTTATCCTTCAAAATTCAGTAACTTGTGTGAAATAATGTTTTGTTGTATGTCAGCCTTTATAGTTTACCTTCATATTCTTGCTCTGTACATTTCCCCTAGAGTTCAACAAAACTCTTGGGCATTTGATCTGTCTTTCCACACAATATCTATTGCCATCAATATCCTGCCAGACAGTAGTCTTATAACCGACTTTTATGATAGTGTGCATTATTTTAGTTCTCTCACCATTTGCTAAAGGATCTTTTATTTCATTTTACAGTGTAGCATTTTTAAAAATGTGTATGCATAGTTGACTACTATTTAGGAGTGGACTCGGGTCGGGCCAACCGGCCCGGAACCGGCCCGGACCAGTACAGTTTGTACCCGGCCCGGTAACCGGTCTGGGTGCCGGTTCGGGCCACCCGACCCGGTCTGATAGCGGTCCGGGCTCGGGCCTGCATATTAGTGAATCGGCCCGGCCGGGCCGGGCCCGGTCCAGGCCGGGCCCGGTCCAGGCCTCAACGGTCATATTTTTTTAAAAAAAAATTTCTTTAAATAATTAAAGGCTCTATAGCCGTTGGGGGCATAGGAGGGGGGTTTGGGGGTGGGGTGGGGGTGGGGTATACAAGCAAATCTATTTATACTCCTATTTTCTACAACTCTTCCTACTCTCTAATTCTCTATTCTCTCAGTCTCTCATATTCAATCATCTTCATTCTTCATCTTCTCCAAATTCTTTCTACATATATATAATTTATATAATTATTATATCTACTTATATAGTTATATATTAATTATCTACTTATAAATATATACTTATATATACTTATACACATTCATATTATAATTCTTTACACATTATATATATTATATATACTTATACACATTCATATTTACTTGATATTTAGTTATTATCCATACTATTGTTATTTACTTATATTTACATATTACATTTAGTTAATATATACTTATATACTTATATATATATATATATATTAAAGTATAAAGTATAAGTGTATTACTCATCTTATAGTAATATACTTATATATTATATACTATAAACATAATATTATATATTACTTATAATATATTTACACATTATATATACTATATATACTTATACACATTCATATTTACTTGATATTTAGTTATTATCCATACTATTGTTATTTACTTATATTTACATATTACATTTAGTTAATATATACTTATACATATATATATATATATATATATATATATATAAGAACACGATCTTATGAGAAAAATGAGAACGAATCTGGACCATTAGATTTGCTTCAAATGAAATTCAGTGTGCATTAGATGAAACTGTAATGTGCATTAGGTGAAATTGAAATGTGCATCAAGACAAAAAGTATTTATTGAAAGACAATCTCTACAACAAGTGACCATATACCATCCAAAATATATTTTTAAGCATGGTCAATTTTGTACGTTGCCACATCAAGTGTCAATTCAAGAAGTGAGATGAAAATTCTTATATGTGATGACCAGTGCATATGTCTTCTATTCAAGGATGTTCAAGTAAACACTCAAAAATATAAAACCAATGGGAATATATATGCATGGATTGGCATAATAGTTTATTTATTAGAATTGTAAGGAGAAAGTGTGTAATTTTGAACATCCAAAATCTGAATATTAGGTCCGCCACTGGTGATAACAAGAGTCGTGCTAGCAACACCACTAATAATATGATTTGTAACTAAGTTTTTAAAAATTTATGATACTTTTTGTACATTGTCAAACAACATATATGTTTGTTGTGTTTTATAGTCTCAAGGGACTCACTAATGGTTGTAAGATCATGCTATTTCATTATCTCATAGAGCTTACTATTACGCCCTATCATTTTTTCTTTAATTTCAGTTGGAATTTTTCATACGATCCAAAATTTCCTTTTGTTACAAACTACTGTTCCGTATTATATAATCAAATTTAAAGCATATACGTTCGATTTCTTTCTTTATTTGAAAAAAATACACATCACATACCATCGTAATTTAACATAAATTTAAAGAAGTTGTTATCCTATTCTAGATGTATCCCGTGCATCGCACGGGTATTTAGTCTAGTATATATATTAAAGTATAAAGTATAAGTGTATTACTCATCTTATAGTAATATACTTATATATTATATACTATAAACATAATATTATATATTACTTATAATATATTTACACATTATATATACTATATATACTTATACACATTCATATTTACTTGATATTTAGTTATTATCCATACTATTGTTATTTACTTATATTTACATATTACATTTAGTTAATATATACTTATACATATATATATATATATATATATATATATATATATATATATATATATATATATATATATATAAGAACACGATCTTATGAGAAAAATGAGAACGAATCTGGACCATTAGATTTGCTTCAAATGAAATTCAGTGTGCATTAGATGAAACTGTAATGTGCATTAGGTGAAATTGAAATGTGCATCACAATGGGTATGATAGAGTGACATTATGTGCAGTTGAATTGTGCATTACGTGAAATTGAAATGTGCACTAGGTGAAGCTGAAATGTGCAGAATAAAAAGTACGATGTGATGTTATTTTTGTACTTTTTTTTCGCACATATCAGTTTCATCTAATGCACACTTGAGTTTAAATTTTTATTTTGCACATTTCAATATCATTTAATGCACATTTCAGTTTCACCAAATGCACAATTTGGTTCCACATAATACAATCCAACGGTCCAGATTCGTTCTCATTTTTCTTCTAAGATCTGTTCTTACCGGAACCGCTCCCTATATATATATATATATATATATATATATATATATATATATATATATATATATATATATATATATATATATATATATATATATATATATATATATATATATATATATATATATATATATATATATATATATATATATATATATATATATATATATATATATATAGAGGTAAGAGATCAAATGCAAACTCATCTTAATATGCTAACCTACAAACCTAATCCTAGCCATTCATTTAGACTAAACAGCCGTGTGCTTCATTTTAGATTAGATTAGATAGTCAATGACTTATTAGTCTTTTACATTTATTTTATTTTAGGAAAAAGTCTCACATTACCATTTCATAACCGATTGTAATCGGTTCTCTCCCTCTCTCCTACCAGGTTCTTCCATCTATACGCAATTGCTCAAGGAAATCAAACTTCTCTTCATCTCCATCTTCATCGACATCTCCATCTCCATCTTTATCTTTAATTCTTTATCTCAATCTCCATCTCAAATTTAATAGAATTGAATCTAATTAGTGTTCTTTTATTCAAAGCTATGGATTCCGGTGTGCACGCCGGATTTTTTCATACCAATTCATCAATTCATCAATTCCGTATTTATGCGAAGTTCCTATAGCTTTAGCATGTAAAATGTAGTACAGAGTAGTATTTTTGTCATTTAGAGCTTTTCTTTTAAATATATTATGCATCTTGTCCTCTGGACCTCATGATTTTCATATGCATGTCACTTGAGTTAAGAATGCAGATGCCATGATGATAAGATGCAACATATGATTCACTATTTAAGATGCAGATGTCATCTAACTTAAATGCAATATATATGAACTTCTAAAAATGCACAGGTGATAATGATAAAATGAAACATATGAATTTCAAAAATATGAATGCATATGTCATAATGACAAAATGCAACGTAATAGATTAATTCCCTCAATATGATAATCATTATATAGATAATGCTCATATCATGTGACTGAAAGTGTAACATATGCACAATAATATGCAGGCGTTATAATTACAAAGTGATAAATTTCGTAAAAAGGAATTTATTCTACAAATATTATCATATGCATACGTTTTAATTATAAAATGCAGATCTCTTAACCTTAGTATGCAATTTGTATGTATGTTGTGCACTCTATGCATGTGAGTTGAGTATACGATGCAAATGTCGTAACGATAAGATGCAACATATGAACTCCTAAAGTGCACATGTTATTTTACTAAAATGTAATATATGAACTTCCAAAATGCAACATCGACATATTTTATCAACATCAACTTCTAAAGTAACTTCTGCAGACATTATGAATATATGATGCAGATCCCGTAATCTTAATATGCAGTGCTATATAATGCATATTTTATAAACTTAATATGCATTGCTCACATACAATAAGTTTCTAATTGTGTTGAATAAATCAATTTCTTCATTAAAAAATGGAAGATATGTTTCAAAAGTAAAAGGTTATTATGAAGCGATTGATTTTGTTAATCAAGAAATTGAATTGATTTTGAAAATTTAACCATTAATTACTAATTATAAAAAGGTAAGTTACTTTTGAATTTAGGCTATCATCAATCCAGGAGTTTATCATGTCCGCCACTTTCCTTGTATACATTACTTATATTTAATGGGATGATTATTAATTAGTGGGAAGTTGATCTACGAAATCTAGGGAAGAGGTTTTAATATTACTTTAATAGCCTTGTAACTAATTTTCATGCGTTAGTGTGTCTTAAGAATTTAATCAACTGCATTTCAACCCATGAATGCTACTGTGGGTGTGATACGGATGGCAATCCATTTAAAGTAAATTGAAAGTCTAGATTAGTTTGTAGTTTGCACCGGAAGCATGGTTTGCATGTGATCCTCACCCTATATATATATATATAAAGTGATCATATACAAAGCCAACTTAATTTACAAAATACAAAGTGATCATAACCGTCCATCTAAGCCTTTTTTTTGTGCGCAGGTTTTAGTTTCAGCCGCGTACGTGATGGTGTTTTGGGGCATCGCATATCGGTCTAAACATGGAAATACAATCACGTCCCAACTCTCTTCCCTTAATACTCTGTTTCCATATTTGCGATCAACACCACGTTCCTGCTCGACTCAGACCTGCGCTTCACTGCTGCTTCCATTCTTGTGTCGTTGAAAGGTCAGGATGTCATCAAACGCGGTAGAATCCGAATCAGGTTCGGTTCTATTAT